GAAGAAAGACTGGAGGGGTTGGGGTAGAAAATGAGAAAGCACTGTTATACTGATTTATGCATTTACGCACGTTTGAGAAGTTTTGAATACACTCATATCTGTGTACTACATAAGGCCCACTCCACCCTCTGTCCCAAAGACTACTGTCCCTGGAGCAGGGGCTGGGCCACCAAGAAGACCAAAGTGAAGAGTGAGATACAGGAGAGTGTAAAGAAAACTTACACTTGGATCCAGGATTTGGCGGCATACCTTCTATGAAATTTCAAGATCTCGATTATGAAATTATAATTCTATACTGGTATCCACATAAAGAGTTCTACGTCCTGGGATGCTCGAGTGGCTCAGTGATTGAGCATATGTCTCCAATTCAGGGTGTGATCCCAGGATCCAGGATCAAGCCCCAAATCAGGCTCCTTGCAGGAAGCCTGCTTCTCCCTCTGCCTATGTCTCTGCCTATCTCTGTGTCTTTCATGAATAAATACATAAAATCTTTAAAAAAAAAGAATTCTAAGTCCTATGAATTAAATTTAAAACATCTGAATTACAGAGTCATTCCATACCTGCTGTCCACACAGACTCTCTGAGTAAGGAATACTGAAGGAGAATTATAGCTCTGTGGATTTTGCAGGCGCCAACTTATACTAACCCCACGTGAGGCATCTTAAACCCTCCCATCTACCACCTGTCATCTCCATTTGCTCAGTCCTACTGTATTCAATCAATAGGGGACCTCTGCGAATTACTCTGATTTTAATCATCTGTGTGATTGTTACTAAAAGCTACTAACAGCCACCAGGGAGAAGGAAAGGACAAAGTAACTTGATTTTGTTTTGACTACTTCAAAGGGTGGGGGGGACTTGGGAGGGGTAAAATTTGCAAAAATTTGAGATGTGGGACATGGTCCAGAGTTCCAAAAGTTACCACAACATAAACTAACAAATAAACATGTCTAAGCTGTCTCTGAAGAAACATCTTGTTTCCCATCATCAGTTCGCTATTATTTTCATTAATATTCCATATTCTCAGCCCTTCCCCTGCCACTTTGTTCCAAAGTCTTAACTTTCTTTTGATTCCTTCCAAAGTTATTTTTCATGTTGTCTTCTTCCCTTTTAGGGCACTTTGCCTAAATTTAACATGGCAGATTCTTTCCCTGCAGATACAGCCCACTTTCTGCATATCACCCTGAAACTATGTATGATTCCCTGGCACTCTCCACATGCCACATTCACAGATTCAAATTCTGATTTAATATATCACACGTTAAATACAGACTTCTGCTGATTCTGAAATTCTGAGATGACTTATCTATCTACATAATTTTTTTAAAAATTTAAGTGAAAACAGGTTGTCTTTACAGTGATATTTCCAAAGCACATGCTACTGCCTCTGTGCTTGAACATCACTCCTAATGAAATTTTCATGAGGTTACTGTCATCTTGAAACAAGACCCCGCTGATGGTTGGATGATGGTTGTAGACCCTCATCCCAAAGCCTTAGCCCGAAGCAAAAAAAAAGGGTTTGGATTGCAACTCAAATATTCACAATAACTGTATGAAGATTCAGACACTTTGACTCACTAGTTCCCTTCCAGGGAATTTGTCTTAAAAAAAAAAATTCAAAAGAAGAGAAAAATCCATCTGCCAGAAAATGTTTATTTCAATATTACCCATAAGTAATGTAAAACAGTGGGACCAATGCTACCATCCAAAAATATAGAAATCATTATGTAAGTTAGAATGAATCAATTTAATGGACTATTATAAAACCACTTAGTAAGAAATCATTATGAAATGAGACTTACCAAGACTACATAATAACAAAGTTCAGAAACAAATTGTAAATGAAAAAAGGAAAATGAGAAATCACACTTAAAAAACATTAGAATCAAATAACAAGAATTAATAATCAGGGCAGCCTGGGTGGCTCAGTGGTTTAGCACTGCTTCAGCCCAGGTCGTGATCCTGGAGACCCAGGATTGAGTCCCACGTTGGGCTCCCTGCATGGAGCCTGCTTCTCCCTCTGCCTGGGTCTCTGCCTCTCTCTCTCTCTCTCTCTGTCTCTCATGAATGAATAAATCTTTGAAAATAAAATAAAACTACAGGAAACAAAATATTTTTTAAAAAATTAATCAATTATGATATATAAATTATTTTCTTTAAATTTTTTTAAAATATTGTTTCACTTTTGACTTTATAGTAAACCAAACAGGTAGAAAAAACACAAAAAAAAAAGCTGGAAAGCTTGAATTTTCCTATTTCTATGTAGAAAATTAAATTATTTTCAGAATCAGCAGGACCACACCATCTAACACCAAAGGTGGAAATTGCCTAGTTGCAAGGTTTGAAACTTGTTTAGAACAGATGAAGAATCATGCCCAGTGACTTTAAGGGGACACAATAACCACAAGAAAAAGAAGGGGCAAAGGAGTTATTACATTGTAAACTACTTGTTCTCGAAACCAAGATAATATAACTGTACTTGATTAGAAGTTCAAAAATCAGAAGTCATAAATGGAAGAAGAATCAGAAAAAGATGTATCTTCGACTAGAGTATTCTCTCAGCTGCAAGAGTCAACGTTTTTCTAGTCCCTTCATGAAGAGGAATTGGGTGTTAATGTCAGAGCTCACCGACTTTTCAAAGGGGAAAACTCTACATCATTCCCCCACAGAAGGTGGTACCTGCTGTCCCTCCTTGACACTATTGTGAGACTCCTCAGAAGCCATGAAATGCATAGATGGCACCCTTGGCAGAGAAATGATGTCTCCTCTTTACAACAATGCATCCTCATAAAAATCCCCCACCCTGCCTTTAAAAGGGTTTTCTTATGATTAAACTACAAGCAAATGTTGCTGAAAAACCAAACAAACAAAAAAGAAATCCAATGTGGTCAACATTCCAAAATTAAATTATACATATCCTGGGTCTGATCCGTTTTCTTCATTTTGTGATTAAGTGCTTAAATGGCTTAAGAAGCTTCTGACTCGATTAAACAATCTGGAAACAGTAAGAACTTTTCCCCTAAGAAATTAGCTGTCAAATTATCTCTCTAATAATGTATGTGTTTCCTGATGCTGGTGCTGAAATGCCAAGGCACTCTGACAGATAACTGTCTGAAGACTTGGGCTCTAAGCTCTTAAATAGCATGAGATGTTGGGTTTGGATACAGCTGTTAGGCAGAAAGGCTGGGCCAACAGGGGAGGGGGGTGTGGTGACAGAGGTGCCAGTAACAGTTCTGGGCCTCCTTTCTGATATCGGCGTGTTAATGCTGCCAAAAGGGTCCCCAGCATTTGTACAACAGTAATGAGACTGCGATTTTTTTTTCCAAAAGAAAAAAAACCTTCATTTCTGTGTAAATTAAGAATTACTGTTATAACAATGAAATGAAGAAAAATGTAAATTAGAAAAAAAAGTAGGAAAGATCATCTGAAAGTACGTTATCAAACATTACATTTTCAAACTGGGGATGGGACCTTCAAATTTCACCTCAAAGACAAAAGTAAAAGAGGTTCTGGGATCCCTGGGTGGTGCAGCGGTTTGGCGCCTGCCTTTGGCCCAGGGGGCGATCCTGAAGACCCGGGATCGAATCCCACGTCGGGCTCCCGGTGCATGGAGTCTGCTTCTCCCTCTGCCTGTGTCTCTGCCTCTCTCTCTCTCTCTCTCTCTGTGTGTGTGTGTGACTATCATAAATAAATAAAAATTAAAAAAAAGTAAAAGAGTTTCTTTGTCAAGTTTATGTAGTTACTCAGGTCTCAATATCTTAATCTAAAACTGTATGGTCCAATGTGGTAGCTACTTGGCCACATGTGTCCAAACTGCTGCATGCTATCTATGTAAAACACACACTAGGTTCCAAGGATTTAGTAGATAAAAAGGAGTATAAAATGTCTCATTAATATTTTACATATTAAAATTACACTTTACACCAGATTAAATAAAATATTATTAAAATTAATTTGACCTTTTCCTAATGGGGCTACTAGAAAATTTAGACTTCATATATGGTTCATATTTGTGGCTCGCATTATATTTCCATTGGACAATACCAGTATTTAATTAAAATGAATCAGATTGGGAGTACCCGGGTGGCTCAGTCAGTTAAGTGTCTGCCTTCGGCTCAGGTCATGTTCTCAGCGTCCTGGGATGGAGCCCCACATTGGGCCCCTCCACCTGCTCATGCTCTCATGCTCAATCTCTCTCAAATAAATAAAATTTATTTTTATAAGATTTTTAGATCAAATCAGATTGAATTTAACTCCTTCCAATCCCTTCCAGCTCCAGAGTTCTCACACTAAGAAACCATGGGCTCAAGCTGATAAGTTTCAAATACAAAGTTATTTTAGAGAAATTTAAGTTTAGACATTGTTTCATTATTTCTCCACACCTTTTACTCATGTTCTCCCATTCCTTACTCTGTCTCCTTATTCTCCCATTCCTATGGATCCCTAACAGCCAAGAAAAATGAATGTATCATTTTTTTTTACTTATAAACTGCAAGTATGAAGTTCATAGGGTCATTCTGAACTGTCAGTTGGTCATATTTCTTTTTGCTTCATACCATACTGATGCTCATTTTTAATGACATGCCATGAATAATGAACTCTGAGGGGTTTTTTTCAGTTTTAATATTCATAGAATAGGAGTTTCAGAATTAGAGAAGCTTACAAGCGTTATTCCAGTGGTTCCCAAGTGTGCTGCTACCTCTGAATCACCTGGGGAACATGTGAAAAATACTGATTCCTTGTCCTGATAACTGGAGCTCCGCAGAGTCTGGGATAAGACAAGATCCTATACTTCTTAAGAAGCTCTCCAGGTCATCCAGAGGGTCAGCCAGGTCTGGGAATCAGTGGTCTAGCCTCACTATTTCCTCTATAACTGAGATAAAATGAATTGCCCTAGTGCTAAGGCCAAGGGGCCTCAGACCTAGAGCCAGGATGCAGAGCTCCAAAGCCAGCTTGCTGCCATTATGGAGAGACATCCTGTCAAACACAGACACTACTCACTCCTCAAGGGCTCCAGCCACCAGTATATCTTCCTTGTCCGTCTTAACATCCAACTCTGGTTCTCCGCTAAGCAAGAGCTTCAAGTTATAAATAACCAGCAAAGTACCTAGCAGAGAAAAAAGGACATTTGACTTGTTGATACTTCACATTAAGTGTTAGTCATGGTGCTATTATCTCATCTATGGAATTAAGCCTACTCTAGACCAAATTTCCTCGTGTACTTTAGTAAATAATATGCTTGGATAAGTTCCAAGATATAAGTCTTACAGCAAATTCCATTCTCTGCCAAAGAGTGTTGAGTTTTTCTACATTATACTGCTTATTCCAATTCCATTCATTATAAGTCTCTCAATGTGGATTCTTAAACTTTGGCACTTTTTTCATAATTTGCATTATGAAAATTGTTAGGAGTCTGAACTAAATTTGCATTATAGGTAAAGCTCTCGTCGGTGGAACTGAAATCAATGCACATAAGAACAAAGATGAATTTTTAAAATTTGTACAAATATGAAGAATTGCTTTAGCCCCTTTTGTAGGTGTTGGCAAATTTTTTCTGTAAAAGGCCAGATAATAAACATTTCAGGCTTTGCAGGCCAAACGGTCTCTGTCACAACTAACTAATCACAACTCAACTCCAACATCGTAGCACGAAAGCTGCCACAGTGCATATAAATGAATGTGTGAGACTGAAGTCCAATAAAACTCTACCTACAGAAACAAGTATGGCTGGATTCAATCCTGCGGGCCACAGTTTGCTGACTCCTGCCCTAAAACATAGTTAACAAAATAATACAAATTCTTTACAAAATTGATTATGATACCAGCAGGATTGTCAGAGAAATTAAAAGAACAACCAAATATACTTCTCTTGGTAGTAATAAAACACAAGAGAGAACAGCACAGGACAGTGATTAAGAATGCCTCTGTCTAAATCCTGAATCAACCACTGATTTACCAGTGCAATGACCGCAGATAAAGTTCCTAACCTCTTTGAACCTAATTTCTCTAATTTACACAGTGTATCTCATAAATTATTTTGAGAATTAAATGAGTTAATTTTTATAAAGCACTTAGAAAAATATTCAAGAAATAGTATACCCTTCATTAGTATTTACATGAATATTTTACAATTAAAAGTCAACTAACAAATTACATTAGTTTTCCTTAAAGTATACCAAGTATAGGGGCACCTGGATGGCTCAGTCATTTGAGCACCTGACTTTTAATTTCAGCTCAAGTCATGATCTTAGGGTTGTGAGATCGAACCCCAGATTGGGCTCTGTGCTGATTTGCTGCCTGCTTAAGATTCTTTCTTCCTCTCCCTCTGCCCCTCCCCCACTGCTTGTACACACAATCTCAAAATTAAAAAAAAAAAGTCTAGCATGTATACATTAATGAAATTAATATTTACTGAACTGCTACTAGTTTTAGTCTAACACAAAAGGGAAAGGATGACAAAAATATCATTGTTAAACAAAATGCCACAAATTAGAGAAGAAATTTTGAAGGTAATACAAGCCAAGTCAGAAACAAATTTCTCAAAATTTGACTATAAACATTCCATAAATCGAAGAGTTGCAAAAAGGAAATGCACAGTTTTCTCTAGAGTAAGATTCTTCTAGTTCTAGATATGAAAGGTAGAAGTCTGAAGAAAAACTGACACTGGAAAATGTTAGTAGACTCAGTGCCTTCCACATGTTGAGTAGAAAGCTGGTACAGGCTGAAAGAATATAGAAATACAGAATACACAGAAAGATCTGTTAATTTGGAAAATGTCCACAAAGCTTTTGCTAACTCTCTGCCTCAGACACCTGGATTCACGGGCTTATACAATGCTAACTCTCTTATACACATGGGATCAACTCCTAACTTTGCTATGTAGTGCAGGGACTATGGATTCCCTATGGTCACAGACTATGTGATTGTCTTCGCATCCAGTCTGCACCAAGCTCATGCAAGTACAAATCGTTCTCCCAGTGTCAGGGACTTAGAGCTATTCATATTTGGATTCACTTAAGACAGAATTCATATGGATAAAATGAATGACTGCCCCCATGTGAGATCCTGCATGGTATTATAAATAGAAAAAATATAAAAGCATATGTAAAGTATCTTTTGAAAGACATTAAAGACAAATACTTCCAACAAAACTTCAGAGTTTTGATGATCTTACCACATTTCCCATAGATCACATCAAACTGCTGCATCAGTTCAGCTTCATTTCTAAATGGAGAGTACTTAAAAATTATAGACAATTCTGTTGAGAATTTTTGAGGATCATCTGTGACAGATTCTCTGGTTCTTGTTAACCATGAAGGTATTGGAACCACAACCTATATAAAAAAGAAAACACATCAATTTACTATGAAATACACAAATAAATACCATCATCCTTTTGTCTGATCCTAATTCAGTCCATTCTTCATCTAGCCAAATTACAAAACACAAAGTTAAGAGTTTATTTCCCCCTGTACTTTAGTTTTATAAGAAAGAGACACATAACAATTATGTATACTTAGAGTTTTATTCAGAAATGCTCCATTGTATGATGTGGGGACAGATGGAACCTACTTCAGCTCCTATTGAAATATGGGAAGGATGGCAGAGGAGCAACAGTACCAGCACTCTAGAAGTTGAACAGTCCATGAAAGCATATCCAGGAAAATCAATCTGAGGCCAATGTTGAAAGAGAAAACCAGCCAGTTTACAATTCAGAATAAAAGGCTCAAAGACTGATGGCATGAGTTAACTCAGGAGGTGGGATCAAGGGAGAAGAGAACTGGAAGTAGCATCCGGAGCCCATCTGGCACTAGCGCCCCTATCTTTACAGAGACTGGATCTTTATTTTCTAGAAAGAATGGAACAAAGCCTTTCTAGATTAGAGGATATGTCAGGCAGTTATTAGGGAGACATTACTGAGATCAGAGGGATGAAAAGTGTACACACTGGATGCCGAGAACCCAGATCTCTTCTCTCATTTGGGTCCCAGAAAGCTCTTAGCCAAGCCTTCAGGCAGAAGACTGTAGGAGTCTTCCCTGAGATATCAGACTAGCCCAAAAGGAAAGATATAAAATTACCTTGAGGGTTTCCCAATAATACAGCACAGCTAGAGCTCACTACTGTGATGCTCACAGCTGCCAAGCCTCCCACCCCAATCCTACTCTCACAGAGCTTTCAATCCAAATTTTATTGGAATACTCCTTAAAGTAGTCAGGATTGATAGCCATCTGAGAGAAGCCTCTAATATGATAAATATAGACCAAATAAACAGGCACAAACAAAGCAAATCATTTGAAACAAAAACCATAGGAGGAAGATGAAAATTTCAGGGGAAAAGAAAAATCAATCACTGTTAATATCTTTAGAGTGCTAAAAGGAAATACTGTATCCATGAAACAGAACTATATGTCTTTAAAAAAGAATATTGAGAGAATTTAAAACACTTCTTGGAAATGAAAAATAGGACTATAGAAAAAAAAATACATGAAAAGGTTGGAAGATGGATGTTAGAAAATCTCCCAGAGAACAAAACAAAAATATAAAGAACAGAAAATAGAAGGGAAAAGATAAGATAATTAAAGAACTAGTTCCAGATGTCCAACTGCTAAGAACAGAAGTTGCAAATACGAAAGGAAGAAAATTATTAAAGATTATAGAAAAACATCTCCAAATTGAAGGACAGGTATTTCCAGATTGAAGGTGTCCAATATGCAACCAGCGCAATGGATGTGAATAGAGCCACCCAGAAGCAAAATACTTAAATCAGAACTTTGGAGACAAAGATGACTCTACTAACTTTATTTTTTTAAGATTGTTATTTATTTATTCATGAAAGACAGAGAGGCAGAGACTCAGGCAGAAGGAGAAGCAGGCTCCATGCAGGAAGCCTGATGTGGGACTTGATACCAGGTCTCCAGGATCGCATCCTGGGCTGAAGGCGGCACTAAACCAGTAAGCCACCAGGGCTGCCCTCTCTGACTTTAAAAAGTAGAAGCGGGGGGCGGGGGGAGAATATGTCACACACAGGACTCAGAAATTAAAATGGCTTTAGACTTCTCAATGGCAATGCTAGAAATAAGAAAATGATGAAGCAATGGCTTCAAATTCCTGAGGGAAAATTCACTCCAACCTACAAATAACACCAACCCAAACTATCACTGAGTGCTCAGGTAGGTTAAAAATATTTTCAAGCACGTGAAGTCTCAAAATACTTGACCTCTCATGCACCTTTACTAAGAAAGCTAACAGAGGATTGTTAACAAGGGCCGATCCTGGGAGGACAGCAGAACACTAGCCATGGAAACAAGAGTGAGAAGCAACACAGGAGAAGACTCCAGAGCAGAGTCTTCAGGAAGATGGGGCTCAGCCAAGCACAGCTGGAGACTGGGGTTAACATAGTGACAAAGACAGAAAACCCAGCCAATATTTAGTGACAGTGGTAGGTACATAGAACACCAGGCATACAGCTAATAATTCCAAGGAAAAGAAAAAATTGTGCAGAAAAAGGAAAAAAACAGTTTATGACATGATATAGTTGTGAATAGTGTTTATACAGTCTTATAAATACTGAACATTAGCAGAAATAGAATGATAATGCAGCTATGTTGAGGGTGGAGAATAGGAAAAGTGTGTATGTGTGATATGAACGGAGGAAATAATATATATAAATCCCTTTATAATGAGCAGTTATCGTATAATACATCAAATCAAGAAGCTGTAATACCAGTATGTTATATAGAGAAGCACGGAAAAATACTGAAAAATAATCAGCTAAAATTGTTGAAAGAGATTGCCTGAGTAGAAGTGGAAATGGGAAGGGGTTGCCGGTTTTAGTTTTTTTTAAAAAAAAAGGGTGGGGAATGGCCCATTTTAGGAATGCTATAACCTCAGCTTTGGCCCAATTTTCCATACCTTTACATACATTAATGGCAACATAAATACTTAAAGTATTGCTTTTCCTTATAACAGTCTCCCATTCAGCTACTCCCTATTGCCTACAGATTGTTCCTTACCAGGCCCCACTCCATTGCTGCCAGTGGACATCCTGCACCCCTGCGGAACAACTTCACATCTCCACTGTCCTTCCAAATCCTATACTCCTCTCCAAGTGTGAGAGTTGCTGCACGCCACTTCTCTCCACATACCAGCCTTTCCACTGCGAAGGGAACTCTCTCCATAAAACCCTCATTGACCAATCAAGGCTCTCTAATCCCTCCATCTATCCCATTGCTTTTGACGATTCTGTAACAGCAGAAGTACATACTCACTGGACAGAATTGTTTATAAACACCCTCATTTTGTTATGAATCCAATTCACATGCGTTTGCCTATATTTTGTGACTACTTTGATGGTCAGATGATCTTTTGCTGGTTTTCTCCCTGCCACAGGGTCTAATCATGCTGGGTAGTTTGTTTACCTGCATTTGCTGTATTGAATTACACGGACATTCTGAATAGTAAAACTCAGATACTGCTAATTAATAAAGTACAGCTAGGTCATTAAATGGAGTTGAAATTAGGGTCGCCGGAGTTACAATTTTTACTCTATTTTGCACTCAGTTTCTTTAGATTTTGTATTCCTACCCTTTTAATCCAATATTTATCTTCATTATTTTTTTAATTTTTAGATTTTATTTAAATTAAATTAATTAATATATAATGTATTACTGGTTTCAGGGGGAGAAGTCAATGATTCATCAGTCTTATATAACACCCAGTGGTTGTTATATCACGTGCCCTCCTTAATGCCCATCGCCCAGTTATCCCATCCTCCCACCCCCCTCCCTTGCAGCAACCCTCGGTTTGTTGCTTATGATTAAGAGTCTCAAAAAAAAAAAAAAGAGTCTCTTATAGTTTGTCTCCCTCTCTGATTTCATCTTTATTTTTTTCCAATATTTATTCTTAAAATGATAATCCATTTATGGCACAAATGGCAGAAGTATTTTGCAGGCTCCTTCCAAAAAGCTCACTGTGCCAAAGGGAGCCTCTTATTCTGGGAGATTTGGGCACATGGATAATGAAAACATTCTGAAAACTGCTTAGGAGTTAAAAACCCACTCAAGAATGGTCAAGAGGATAGGCCTCCAATGAACCCAGAGTGTCCAGCCACCCTCTCTCCACTTCCCAAATACATTTCTAAATTTTTCAATCATAATCAGCAAAGAACTGTTGTAGACTTCACCTCCTGAGATGGTAAATGAAAACAAGACCGTTACTATGGAAACCAAAGGAAAATCTCAACTCTTACCTCACTAAGACCTTCTGTTTCACAGAATGTCTGAGAAAAAAACACACAGGTCATCGTTTCTTCCTTCTTTGTGAAAAGAATAAAGTCCTTCCCGATCCTCATGGATCCACTATATTAAAAATTGAGAACATGCTGGTTTACATCTCAAATACTATAAAGAAATAGTGGATTCATCACTGTGATGAATTGTTCTTGGATAGAAGTAACTCCACTGTTTTGCTGACCCATCACCGAAAGGGTACAAATGATTTCTTTTTCCCTCAAAGTAGAGCAGATGGATTTGAACCAATCCAGCTCTCCACTCTTGCTTGAGACATGACTGCCAAAAATAAGGTGCTATCCGGAAATCAAGAAAAGAACAATCATCTGTCTGCAGCAGGTGACACATAGGTGATAATATACCCTTGTCCTCACCTTACACTGAGGCAGACTAATAAAATAAGCTGTGAACACATATTACACCTATACTAACATATGTTCTGAGAAAAAAGAGAACACAGAGATGCAAGGAAGCTCGGAAGTACAGGGCTTCTGCTTCAATACCTGGAAGACGATTCATCACCTAGTTGAGAATTAAATTTACAAATGTTATAAAGAGCCAAGCCAGTTATAGGTATGGAAATCCCAAAACAAGTAGGACTTTGAAGTTTATATTATTAACCTTTACAAACCTAGATCATTCTGTGTAAGTTTGTGTCTAAGTAAATACTGTTCCCAATAGTACATGCCTTAAAGGAAAAAAATTCTCACCTTTTGAGACCATTACCATATTGCCCAATAAACTTCAAGGTTGATGAACGTTTCTTGGATGTTCCAAAGTAAATGATATCTGAAGCCTCCTCTATAATTCACAAAGACATTTAGGTGGTTAGAAATTGTCATTGACACTGGCCATAGGTCCAGCTGTCAGGATATCACAACATATCTTAGGACATTAGGACAAATCCATACCTCTTGGGTTAGCCCAGTGACAAGGATCCTTGTCGGACTCCATGACCTCTGACCAAGATCTTAACTGTAATATATTGAAGGAGGTCAGACAGATGTAGCCACATGACCTTGGGCAAACAGAGTGAAACTCTGAGTCTTAATTTCCTCGTCTCTAAAAGGGAACCACTAATACCTACATTATAGAGTTGATAATAAAAACTAACCTATTATATAAGATCATCTGTTTGTGAAACCCTGAACACAATACATGCCACTTGATAAGTACCAATAAATCATAAATGTTATAATCATTTGTACCACTAGTTATTTTCCATGAATTTGGCCCTTATCCAGCTCCATGTAAGACTGAGCAGGGTAGAATGACTTCTGGCCTGACACTCCCTGGGGAAGAAGAGCCACTTGTTTCAGACTCTCCAAGTCATCCTCCAGATCTCTCCAGGGCATTCTGGAATTCTAGAGAAGAATCATCTAAACTTCAAAATATACATACCTCCAGAAACAAGAATGCTTCTAGGGAAACAGGGAACGGTAGAAATGGCTCTCCCAGGGGCCCTACCTGAATACACACTCTAGAAGTGTCTTAAAGACCTGTGTCAATCTGTGTGCAGACATGCTACGGTTCAGCGGCACCTGGCATGTGGTGGGTAAAGGCTACCAGACACTCTGCTTGTCTGAAGCCAACCAGACCTTCTATCACATGTTCTTATAAGCGGTTGGGCATTAAGTGAGGGTATCCATAATAACAACATTAGCTACCATTTATTGTTTAGTATATATGCTAGGAACTATATCATATCCTTTACATGCACCACCTATTTAATATTTATAACAAACCTACATAATAGATATTATTATGATGATCTGCATGTTATGAAGAAACTTAAGTTCAAAGAGTATACGTAGGCTGCCCAAGGTGAAACAGCCGATGAATGCCACCATAAGGATAACAATCCAAGGCTGCCAGAGACCATATTCTGTGGTTTTCAAGCACACCTCACAGACTCCCATATATGGTGTTCAGAGTTCTGGGCATAGGTATAGAACACTGACATGACCCCAGCCCATAACTCTATGTCACAGTAGGAGAAACAGATTAAAAGAAACAAGATCACTTCTGAGAGTATTAAGTGAAGAAATAAAACCAGGGTGCTGTGCTAGAGAATTAATAGGAGTGTGGCCCTCAGACAGAATGATCGGGAAAGGCCTCTTTCATAAGGTCACATCTGAGATGAGCTTTAAATGAATGGCTAGCAGGCATGGTTGGTGTGCTATAAGCCAAGGGAGAGAATGCCATGAGAAATGGTCAAAGAGGTGGACAAAGATTTCTTGCCAAATAAGGCTAGAAACTAGAAGCATTACTGGGGAGTATAAATTGTATCCCAAAGTAATGAAAAACCACTACTGCTTTTAAGCAAGGGAAGGATATAATGTGATTTATACTAAAAGAAAACAAAGGGACGCCTGGCTGGCTAAGTGGTTTGGGGCCTGCCTTCGGCCCAGGGTGTGATCCTGGAGACCCAAGATCGAGTCCCACATCAGGCTCCCTGCATGGAGCCTGCTTCTCTCTCTCTCTGCCTCTCTCTGCCTGTGTCTCTGCCTCTCTCTCCGTATCTCTCATTAATAAATAATAAAATCTTTAAAAAAAAATAAAAAAGAAAACAAATACTCTTGGGATCACTGTGTAAGGAACGGACCATGATGGGCCAAGAGTTGATTTACTTACTCTGGTCAAGGTTGATTTAACTTAGTTTGGGCCACAGGTAAGATTCTATTTTCAGTCTTCAGATAAACTCTTCCTTCTAACTCATTGCTTAACTTCCAATGAATATGGGGGGTTTTTTGAAGATTTTATTTACTTGAGAGAGAACGTGCACATGTTGCGCACAAGTTGGGGGAGGGATAGAGGGAGAGGGAGAAGCAGGGAGCCCGATGCTGCTCAATCCCAGAACTTCTGGGATCCTGACCTGAACTGAAAGCAGGCGTTTAACAGACTGAGCCACCCAGGCACCCTGATTTCCAATCAATGTTAACACAGAATCGCTCTCTCAACACTAGTGCGCTTTTAAAAATAGTACTGTACATGTCCACTGAAGTGCGAGCTCTTTCTGAGGATCTGAATATTAGCCACTTATCTGTGTTTTGATCATTTTGCTCATGACCACATATAAAAGGAGTTGCTTCTTTCTGTTTTCTTTTTTAAGGAAGCGACTTAACCTATATGACATATTCTGTTGTTTAAGAATTCGGGAAAACGAACTTAAGGGTCAGCCTAGAAGTGAAAAACAAAACTTTTTTCATCATGGTTTTCTCACAAACTCTGTTCTCTCTTAAACACTAAGAACCAACGGTACTTTGAATCAAAATCACCTGGAAGATTCAAAATTATCCAAAGTCAGAACGAGAACTGAGTAACATATCTGAGAATTTTCTAAACTTGCTAATAATCTTTGACTCTTCATACCCAGGGAGTACTTCAGAGACTGGCTGGAAGAGAACTGCTTTACTTTGTATTCTTTGCTTTCAGCAGCACCGATGAGTGTCCTATCCGCTGGAGTAGAACAGACCAGAACTGCTCCATATTATTTGAATTACTTCACGATTTTTTGAACTTAGTGGTCTTGTGGGACAGCAACAACAGTTAAACAAGAATTCAGGGATAAGCTATCCCAAATGACTCAAAGCCTTAATCAGAGGAAATAACATTTAATTTCACAGTAAACTGGTATCGTGTACCTACTATGTGTTGAGTTTTGGTTAGCCTTGAAGATAAATACAAAAAAAAAAAAATCATGCAATGGGATTCCCAGGTGGCTCGGCAGTTTAGCGCCTGCCTTCGGCCCAGGGCGTGATCCTGGAGACTCGGGATCGAGTCCCACATTAGGTTCCCTGCATGGAGCCTGCTTCTCCCTCTGCCTGTGTCTCCGCCTCTCTCTGTGTTCTCTCATGAATAAATAAATAAAATCTTTTAAAAAAAATCATGCAATGAATTGTAGATGTATTCATTATGGTGAGAATAGTTGAAGCTACTAAACTTTTGAACACGCAGAGAAAAAAGAAACCGCTGAAAACTAGAAGAGATAACCTCTTCCTCAAGGTTAAGCAGAAAATTAAAAATAGCCTGAAGGCACTGGAAACTGCCCCAGGCCTCTTGCAAACAATATCTGAAGGGTGGGCTCAAACAATCTCAAAATCCATCCAGTTACCCTTCCTTTTCCATTCATTCCCAGATGCTTTTTCTTGCAAGTAATCATACCTTCTCCTTTTCATTTTTCTCGCAATATTTATCTAATTCACTTTTTGTCTTGGTTTGGATGATTACAATGAATTTACTCTGTCAGCTGGAATATTTAAATCTAAAAAGTTCAACAATATGTTAAGTCTGGGGTTTATTTTTCACCTAATAGCTCCATACCTGCTTTCTCATAGATGGCTCAATTTATTTTTATTTATTTTATGGGTTTTCAGACTGTTTCCTCGAACAGGCAGTTAGGTACCTAGATAATTAACTTACCAGGGCTCATCCCACATCCATCATCCAGGAAGCACAACATGAATCCACCCTGCAGTTTTTCATTATCCACTGTAAGAGAAAGCAGTTATTACTAATAAATACTGGCCTTAATTTGTTCATCAGAAAGTCATGCTGCTTACATAATTATTTGTCCTCCTCAAAGGCAGCCGCTGAGTGACAGAGTGATGGCACAATGATGGCGCTCAGAAAGGTGTCCTGGCTATGGTTTCACAGGACACTGCAGGGGGAAAATAGTCATGCACCAAAAAGGCTTTCAATTAACATAAAACATCTACACATTAATAAATTATGTATACAGTGTGGCATGCCCTGCCCTGGAATCGGACTGGCCTTTAAACTTCAGGTATTTTCCACCCTTGGAGCGGGAATAAAGGCAGCTGCTGATGTGACCCCAGGATCCCTCTACTGCACTGATCAACCTTTATGCCCTCCACCGAAGCACTAATTCTAAAGTCAACCCAGGCCATTCTTATTAAATTCTGCAGGCTCCTGTCTAAGTAGTTAATTCCCATAAGACCCATTTGTGTGTGCTTCTTAGTGGCAGCAAATATTTGCCTCTTGAAAATGCATTTCTGAAAATGGCTAAGTTATTTGGAATCAATTTTGGTGATTAAGAGATATCATTAAGATAACAGAAAATAATCTCTTGTTTAAAAAAATGGAAGGGTGTAACTAAAACTAATGAGACTAATTTTAATGCTCAGTTTGTAATCTGGCTCTGAGGGTAATTTCAACATTTGGATATACGAGTTCTATCACCTCTCTCTCTCTCTTTTACAATAGCTTTGTTGAGAAATAGATTACACATAAAAAAAAAAGACCACCTCTGTGTAAAGTGTACAATGTGATGAACTGTGGCATATGTATATACCTGTGAAATCATCACCACAATTGAGGTCATGAACATACCCATCACCCCAGACCTCTTCCTTAGATGTCTCTCCAGTCTTCCTTCTGCCCCCTTCCGTACCTATCCCCCCACCCCAACCTCAGGTGGCCACTGATTTGCTAACTCTGTATCTATGATTCATTTTGTAGCACATTTGTTTAGTCAACTCTGTGTTCAATGGTCACCCCTAATCTACATTTTAAAAATTAAATAATGTTCGAGATAATTTATAAATAAATATCTCAAACACATACCTAAGCTTTCTGGGTTCATAATTTTATGGTCACATGCCTACTTCTAATCCCTCCCCCAACCCCTGCTAATTCCCTTCCTATCTATAAGCCCTTCGGATCTTCCCTACATCTCATTTTCCCAGTTCCTCTCTCTGCCTGGTCCTCCGGAGTGCTCACCTCAACTTCTGTGTCAGAATATTTCATCCCCCACTTTAGGTCTTGCTCTGTGCAACCCCCCTCTGACTGAGGATGACATTCTCCACTATTCAACAGGGGAAACCAACTCTTGCACAGTGCGGTAGTTCTCAACCATGGCTGAACATTTAAATCACATGGAGGTACTCCAAATTAACTGGTCTTGGGCCAGGCTCAGGAATTAACATTCCCAATTATCCTAGTGTGTATCAGCCCTGGGAATCACCTGATCCAAGCTTCAAGTGGCTCTGCATAGAGGCAACAACTGATTGTGCAGCTCTTGGGATAAAGTTCTCATGTAAGGAGCTTACAGAAAGAAGGGCATTTATTTGGTGAATCAGTGGGAAAGACTGAAAATTCCCTAGACAAGTACAGTGCTTAGTTTTTCCATAAACCCCAATGAGTGACTACAGACAATCACAGTCTCGAAATGTAATAGTCCCCTACTGTCCACCCTGAAGCTTGGCCTTGTTTATTTCAATTCCTTAAAACTAAGGATTCCAGATAAATATCTATTATCTGTTAAATATGCGGGTCCAGAACAAACCACAGCACCTTCTCCTCATCAGGCTTACTTCTCCTTCTGATGTTTTCTGTTCAATAAGTGGCCATCACTCTGCCATTAGGCTTCATCTGCCCAAGTCAAAACCTCAGGATCACCATATGTCTTCTCAATGCCACCTCCTTAATGCCTCTCTACCCCCATGACACTGCCTTAGTTCAGGAAACCATTATCTCTCTTCTGAATTACAGCAACCACTGCCTTACTCCTTGCTAAAGGCAGAGCACAGACCAATGTGCACTGCACACTTAATTTTATGTGTCAGTTTGGTTAAGTCTGGTACCCTTATCAAACATTGGTCTAAATGTTGCTACAAAAACATCTGTGGATATAACTGACATTTACAATCAGCTGACTTTAAGTAACTTCCATAGCGTGGGGAAGCCTCATGCAATCAGCTGAAGGCCTTAAAGGCAAAGACTGAGGTTTCCCAAAGAAGCAATCTTCTGCACCAAGACTGCCACATAGAAATGGTACTTGAATTTCCAGGCTGCTGGTCTACCGCAAGGATCAAGAACCTGAGACCGTGCAACGTCAACTCTTAGCTGGCTTTCCACCCTGCCAGCTGCCCTACAGATTGCAGACGTGCCGGCCTTCACCATCTGTGAGCCCATTCCTTAACATCCCTCCCTCTCATTCCCCCAAACTCTCTATCAGTATCTATAGATATAGACAGATACAGGTACACACACACACACACATTGATATTGAAATACACGTACGTGTCTAGAGTCAGGGGAGGGAGGCAAATCACATCTGCCAGTCTGTCTGTCTACCTGTCTGTCCACTTAGCTTGTCTCCTACCGGTTCTGTTTCTTGGAAGAACTCTGACAAATACACTCTCCAAGCTCACCTCTCATCACTCCCCTTACCCATACTCCCTCCCCTTACCATACATCCACTTCCACACAAATATTCTCTTTAACTAATCCTGAGCATCTCAAGCATTTTTGCAACTCCATCCATGTTTTACACTCTCTCCAGATTCAAGACCCTGCACTATACTGTCCTTTCTCCCTTTCTATCCCTGATTCATCAGGTAAAGGCCTATTTCCCCTTTAGGTCTTTAGTTCCTAGAAAGATTCCTTCTAGAGCACTTCCTCATTCCTACACATCATTGGGCACCCATAATGCACATTTTCTCTGTACTTTGTGTTTCCCACCTGCTCATGTATCTCTTTCTCTTTCAAACTAGTGGCTTTTACTTTTTGTAACACAGTTGCCTCAGAGATTTAGTGAACGCTAAGGGCCCTCTACCCATAAAAGTGAAGATATACATATTTTCTAAAGACCTCGCACTAGGATACCAATTTCTTTAAAGCAGGCACTGTGTGTACTCAGCATTTAACCCAATGCCCGACACTTGGTAAGCACACACACACAAAAGTATTGACTGCAAATCCATGTTTACTAGAACCAATACACATGCATGATAAAACAACAATGGCTAAATTTGTTTAATTTGAATTTTAGAGTCCTCCCTCAAGTTACTGAAGAAAACAAGACCAGAAAGTAATTCAGGGGACTCTGTAAATAATTTGAAAACTAACCCAAGACTTAATTATTTATCCTCATATCAATTCAATATATTGCTGTATAAACCCTGACCCTAGTTCATTTTTTTTCTTTTTTTTAAGAAAAATCAGTTTGCTAAGTTGATAGCCATATTGTCATTTGCTGCAATAAAAAAAATTATAATGTGAATAAGTACTTTTTTAATGAATAGGTAATTTAAAAACAAAAAACATAAGTTCAGTTTTTCACAAAACACATATAACCTAAATTTAAAAAAAAAAGTGCCATTTTGAACTCAAATGGCAAAGATTTTATGTCTGTATATATGCTAAGTGCTAGAGAAAGTTGGGGAAAGGAGTATTGCCGTGCCCTGCTGGTGTCCTGCCACAAACCGAAGAGAACCTAACATGTAAATTCCAATTACATTTGTTGTACTTTGTGATTCCGAATAATTCTTCTCAACTCTTTGACCCTTCATCAATAATATGTATCTTCTGGGGGTGCCTGGGAGGCTCAGTCGGTTAAGTGTCTGCCATCAGCTCAGGTCATGGCCCCAGGGTCCTGGGATCAAGCCCTGTCAGGCTCCTTGCTTAGCAGGCAGTCTGCTTCTTCCTCTCGCTCTCTCCACTCCCCACACATCCCCCACTCATGCTCACTCTCTTGCTCTTTCTCTCTCTCAAATAAATAAAATCTTTAAAACTATATATGTGTGTGTGCTCTGAGTGAAATGCAACTTAAATCCTTTCCCCTTCTCCATTTCTAGGACCACTGCCCTAGTTCAAATTCTCATGAAATCTTGCACAGGTTGTTTCCATAGCCCCACGCCCCTACTATCCCTTCACTGATGGTACAGCATTCAGTTACAGAAACTCTCCCTGTTTACCTCATAAAAAATAGTACACCCTGCCTATCGCTCTCTGTTCTCTTATCCCACTCCCCGCCCCCTTTTAGCACTTTTCATTGCCTGGTGTATTATTTGTTCATTTCCTTATTGTCTATCTCTCCCCCATGAGAACGCACGTTCCTGACAACACATATTTAGTCACACATGTTGTTCCATGCTGTCCCTAGCACCTAGAGTAATGGTTTGGTTCATTCATTGCAGATACTAAACTGTTATTGAATAAATGAATGAATCTCTGAACTGATCTACTTCCATTCTCTTTCTCACAATAATTCCTCAGATAGGAATATTCTTTTACAATATTTGATGAAAACCACATCCATATTTCAGGCCCTAGATCTTTAATATGAGGTATCTTTCTCTGTGTTCTTACCATTCTTTGAGTCTCCCCTGCACAAGCAACACTTACTCAATCCTATCTAATGGAAGGGAAGATGACATTTTCTCCACTATTGGTGTTTCCAATGGAGTAGAATGGCGTGTAATTAATATTAGTAGAATGTACAATGGAGTGCCATTAATATTAGTAAAGAGGCCCTTCTCTGTCCCTTGACTCACTTCTCACTCATCTGACTGGTAATCTAAGGAAGAATCACCTAGGGAGGCTCAGTTCAGAGTTCTTCTGTCCCCTCTTGGGAGTGAGCTGCTTTCAGAGTGCATGAGATCTGTTCTGTTCACTCCAGGCAGACCATTTTGAGGGGAAGCCTGACTCCACAGGTTGGGCAAGTATCTGATTATGGGGTATGATGAGCAAATCCACTGAATTTCTCACACCTAAGCTCCACACTTCAATCTGGCATTTATGAATAATAAAGGCTCTCTTGCTTTATTTCCCAAACTTTTCAGAACCTGAAGAGTACAAAGAGAAGAGAGTTCATTTATTATGTTTTCTCAGATGTCTTAAAATGTCCATGTCTCATGAACCAAAAGGACCACCTAACACAAAATCTTTTTCTTTTTCTTTTCTTTTTAAAATATGTTCACACCCAATGTGGGGCTTCAACTCACAACCTTGAGACCAAGACTTTAGATCAAGTGTTGGACAGTCTACTGACTGAGCCACCTAGGTGTCCCACAGGATCCTAAACACTTAAATTGACTTGAACAGAGTTGCTTTTTAATTATAGATACAGATTACATCATGGACCATATCTTCTTGCCTATGACTAATAGCCAATGTTTACAGGAAAGCTGACAGATTCAGGGTTGGGGATCAGTTTTAACACTGTAGACATTTATCTAGGCAGTATTAAATACAAGACTGGATCTCAGAACCTAAGTTCATTTGCAACATAGTCTAATGAAATGAACTAATTAATAAGTACAACAAGTATTTGGTGACTAAAAATGAAGTCCATGAAGCAAACGTATCTGGTTTGAATATTATAGCTCCCAAACATTCAAACATCGCATTCACTTACACATTTTAACACTATGATAAGTTGAAACTGATGTATACTTAATTATGAATAACCATTAAGTTAATGTGCTTTTTAAAATAAAAAAATTTTTTATGGTAGACAAATTGTTCCACACCACTCTGATGCTTTCAAAAAACCCTGGAAGATCTAATTTTGTAAATAGGTCCCCTAACAAGTGAATGATTCAACTCTCAGAGTATACTTTTCTCAACCTGGCTCCCCATAAGGTCACTGTACTCACTAAGCACTTAAATTACATTAAAAATCTATAAAATGTGCTTTGACTTCATGAAATAAAAGCAAAATAACTATAGGCTTTCCATTAGAAGGAAAGGAAAAAAAAAAAGGAGGAAAATAAACATGCTCACCTGAGAACACATCAAGTCTTGCAGCCCCTGCATCTCTGGAAACAATATAAAAATATCACTGCTTCAATATGAAATTATGTTTTAAAAAATTACATTTATCTGAATTGCTTACGTGAAGTATAATCTATTGTCAGATAGCAAACAATAGACAAATCCACTTAAACTGCTTCAAAACAATTACTAAAGTGTTTCACTCTACATTTATGTACTAAGATCTATGATCACTCATAATTTGAGAATGTCATAAAACCTGAAACTCAGAAATATGAGATGGAATTTCATGGTAATTACCAAAAAGTTCACCAAAAACAGATATGAATATAAAAAAGAAAACCTAGTTGGATAATAATCCATAATTCGCAGAAAGATTTTCATATGTTTTAGTCCCCCAAAAAATGAAAAGAAAAAGCAAATTACTAACATGTACTGTATGATCATATATCTTTTTAAATGACATATATGATATCCATGTTCATATGTGTGAGGAAAGAAATCAAAACAGTGGTTTTCTCTAGATCAGAGATTGGCAAATTATGGTTCAAAAGCCAAATGTGGCCCACCACATTGTTTTTATAAATAAAGTTTTATTGGAGCACAATCATGCCCACTCACTTAGATATAGCCTATGGCTGTCTACACCACAATGGAAAAGCTGAGTAGGATCAACAGAAAACACATGGCCTGCAAGGGGAAAATATTTACTATTTGGTCTTTTTCAGAGAGGCATGCTGATACCACCTCCCTGCCATGTGATGAGATTACTGATGCCTTACTTTTCCTTATTATTTTCTCAGTTTTCTACAACTCATGGATATTATTTATGTATTTTTTTAATTATTTTTTAAGTAGAAATTTTAAAAGAAAAAAAGCAAGAGCCAAAAAATCATAGTTTCAATGTGAGGGGTGAAGACAATGAGGAAAGCGGTCTTAGCTGATGCAGAAGTGGATGTGTTGAGTAAGGGAAATTCAGAATAATAATAACAACCACTGGGACTCTAAATGGGAAATTTGAGTCTCTCCCAAAAGTTCCATCAATTCTAACCCAAAACTACACCAAATAAATCTGAGTAGGTACACTGACTTGTTCTACAAGCCTTCAAAGTTGGCCCCTTTGCTCCTTCCTCTAGCCAACTGCTGCCTTTTAAGCTCCTTCTTTCTGGAAATTCTGGAGGGACTACTGTTATTTCTTGGAGCATTTTGGTTGTGTCAAAAAAAACACTGAATGAAATATTTTTAAGCCACTTTTCCTAATTCCTACCACAATCCCATGATACCTAAGTATCATTACCCCCATTATATAATTATACATTACACAAAATACCATACACATAATAGGTGCTCAGTAAATGTCACTGCACTGAAATGGAATTTTCAGAGAGAGTTTGTTCATAGCGAAATGCCACGGGATGAGACATAAAACAATCATTCACCTCTACAGCATATTAAGACATTTTGTAACAAGCTTTGTACTTTAGCCCAGGTACTTTCTTCTCTGATCAGCTGCTGTTAACAGGAAAAGAGGCCTGAACCATCTCCTCCTATACTGCCACATTTTTTTTTCCTGCTGTCTACAGCATCCTTTTCACATCCTCCAGTTTTAATTTTTGCCAACCACAGGAAACCATCAAACTCTTAAATGAAATGATATAATTTTTTAGAATAACACGGGGACTTTATAAAGACCTTCATCATAAGAACTAAGCATCTTGAGTAAATCTATAAAACAGCTTCATCCGCTATCACTAGCATCTGAATAGCCTTGGCAAACTCAAGGGTCTGCTGCAGACACAGGAACTGAGGAGTTCAGGCTGGCTGTGGGGAGCACTGGGAATGGCAGAGCCGAAGGCACAGACTGTCCCAAGAGAGCACATGCTACGCACCTGAGCCCACTGAGCAGCCTCAAGGCTACCACGTCTAATTGTTAAAAAGGGGGGGGGAGGAGTGAAGGGCCAGGGACCCACATTTTTTATGTGGCACCTCCTATTTTTAACCTTCATAAACCCTTCTTTTCTTCCTTTTCTTTATAACTACAGTGCAAACTCTCACCATGAGTCAAACAAACACGAGACAGGCTAGGTGGGGCCAGAGGGCTGCCAGTTTATAGATGCGGCTCTGAGAACTGTTTTATTGATCACATTTTTCTCACTCCCCTGGGTCTGAAGTCAATTTTTCTTTGCCAGTCTCCTTCGACCACATAGGGGCAGTTTACAGATGAGCCTTACCTTGCATTGTCCAGCAACTCAGCCAGTGCTCCAAAAAGGAAACTGTGCGTGGTGCTGATGAAGAAAGAGGGAAAACCAAAAGTTAAACCAACTCTGTGATCAGTGTAAACGCTTCAAGATACTTGCAGACAAGCGTTCTCCAGTTCAGGACAGATAATCAATTAAGGACTTATTCTAGAAACAACTTTCTCAGCACAGTCAAGATGCTCACGTAGATGTGGTCCATTACAAAGCCGAGGCTAAGAACATGATATAGCCAAAATAGCCTTCTGTTCCTAATAAAACAAAGACATCAAGGACCTTACTGTACTTACAGCAAGTTGTGATGTTTTAAAACTGCTTTATAAGCATGTATTCAAGTGTTTTTTGGAGAACTTGTCCTTAAAACTGTATTCTTTAAGGTCAAATTATTTCTGAAAGATCTTGATCAAAATCTTGGCACACCAAAAGGGCTTAAGACTCTACCTGTAGGCGCAGGCATTGGCAGGGACCCCCTGTTTGCTCCATTAATCCCTATTTTTTCTGCAGGCCCTCTTGTCCTCTGAATTACCTGTGGTCACTTTCCCCTGCACCCCCTCATGCTAGGTCCTGGGTGACAGAACACACTAGATAGCCATCACTCTATGCTTTGAAGGCTTTGGATGTTCATCTGTGGGTGAAATCAGGCTGCCATCAGGGGCCCACACTTGCTTTTCATTTCTTGACGTGGATATTTCCATCAGCAACTTTATCACAGCATTAAGGGAAGAGTCAATTAGCAATTTTCCTTTTATATTTAGTAAACAGGTCGCAGAAGCAAGACAGACCTATTTATCAAAACAGATCTGCTCATTTGTACAGGACGAGAGATCATCCACAATGTCTCAGAGATTCCAAATGCCTCAGGCCACAAGACAACATGTTAGCTGAAAGTTTATTATTTTTAAGATATATTTATTTTAGAGTGCAAGAATGCACACACATACATGGGTGAGCAGGGGCAGAGGGAGAGAGAGAATCCTCAAGCAGACTCCCTGCTAAGCATGAAGCCCAATGCAGGGCTGGATCCCAGGACCCTAACTTCACAGCCTGAGCCCAAATAGTCAGTTGCCTAACCAACTGCACCACCCAGGCGTCCCTTCTTTTTGTTTTGTTTTGTTTTTTGTTTTTTTTTTTAATTTTAAACTTTAAACATAAGCTGATGTGGGGGTCTCTTGACTCAAGTGAGCTTTCAAACTTGTAATTTAAAAAAAAATAAGTACAATTGCTGTGAAAAGATGGCCTTCACTCAAAAGAAATCGAGTATATAAAAAATCTAAAACAGAGCAAAAGTGAAGGTTATATGCTTCACAAAAGCAGCACTTGAAACCACAAGACTCTCTAGTGAATTTAAAACACACGATTCAATATACAAAAATCCAACATAGAAACTTCAGAAAAGTAATTGCAGTCATTGTGACCAAGAAATGCCATAGAGGCATCTACACTATTTCATAGTGTATTTTAACAGCCTGCCTGCCACGTGCTAATGTGGGCAGTCCTGGGCTTCAGCCTCTTGGGACTGGAGCTGGGGGGGGGGGGGCGGGGGGCATAGAAAACACACAAGTAAATAAACATAAAGATGATCCCGGGAGGCCAGGATGCTCTGGCTACAGTGAACCGGGGAGATCCTGCCTGCTGGACGCAGGGTGGCCAGCCCGCCAGGCAGTGCTTCCTACACCACGCTTAGGACCTCCTACTTACCCGACATGCAACTGGAAACCACTGTTGTGTTTTAAAGAGAGTGACATATCTGGTTTACTTTTTAAAAAATCTCACTCTGGGAGCACCTGGGTGGCTCAGTGGTTGAGCATCTGCCTTTGGCTCAGGTCATGATCCCGGGGTCCTGGGATCGAGTCCAGCATCAGCCTCCTCACAGGGAGCCTGCTTCTCCCCCTGCCTGTGTCTCTGCCTCTCTCTGTGTCCTCATGAATACATAAATAAAATCTTTAAAAATATATATATATATTTTGCTAAAAACCTCACTCTGGCAGCTCTCAAGAAAATAGCTCATCAGGGAGCAATAAGGGGAAGCAGAGAGCCAGGTGAGAGGCTCTGTGGGGTACCTCACAAGGGAGATGGCAGCTAGTTTGGACTGAAATCAATGGCAGGGGCAATAGAGGCCTGGGGACACAGAGATGGCATGAAGAGGACTTGACATTGAACCGGATATGGGAGTGGGGCAAGAGAGAAAAAAAACACTCCTGCTTTTTCTGCAAACAGAAATCTATCTGGAGAAGCCGAGAAAATGCCAATGTCTATCTGATTTTCTTGTTGCTTCACGCTGCTGTCACTTTTGTTGTGAAGTTCTCGGGCCACCAACTGATGATGGGCTGTGGGCGAGGGGGAACCACTAGGTGCCTGCGGCCCCGCAGCTATGATAACTACATGACACTGAGGCTGAGGGAGTTTCCCAGAATCCACAGTCCTTCCAGCATTCCACCTGTAACTTTTTTTTTTTTAAGACTCTACTCAAAATCACCATCTCATCATTTGTCTTCCACTTCGGTTAGCTTTTAATTATTTGTTCTATCATTTCCCGCTTTTTCTGGAAATGATTATTCTCTGGATGGACAGATTTAAAAAAAAATAGAAAAAAGACTAAACACCTGCCCACGACTGCCTGTTTTATTTTGTTTTCTGTAAAAATTACACGTCTGCCCCAGGCAGCAAGGCAGGCCTTGCCTGGTATTCTTTATGCTTCTATTTCTGTGGGTTTTTTGTTTTGTTTTGTTTTTAATTTATGATAGTCACACACAGAGAGAGAGGCAGAGATACAGGCAGAGGGAGAAGCAGGCTCCATGCACCAGGAGCCCGACGGGGGACTCGATCCCGGTCCCCAGGATCGTGCCCTGGGCCAAAGGCAGGCGCCAAACCACTGTGCCACCCAGGGATCCCCTATTTCTGTGGTTTTAAGATGATGCATCCTTTGCATCAATCAGCACTTTTAGGAAATCCAGATTAGCCAGAGACTCCAAAAACCCAGCACATCGGTATGAATTAGGCGGCATTTGCTGGTCTGCTGTGCCCTGTTAGAAATCACAGGTGGAACAGAAAACCCGGGTCATGTGCCTGTGCAGTCTGAGCCTTTGCAACGAGCACCTGGGGAGTCCCCAGAAGGCCCCCGGGGCTGACAGAGACGTGGGGGGTTCTAGCAATAACTAAAATATGAGGATTCTAGCCCGGAAGAGGCTCCGTTTTTGGAAGGCCTCAGGCCGCAGAGGCTGGAATCCCTAAATACACACCATCCTCCCGAGCGCAACCTCAACCCGTCAGTGCGCGGCCCAGAGAAATCACAAGGGACTTAGGATTCCTGACCCCCGATTCAGTAGCTAATTTTAGAGCAATTAAAAGGTTTATAACGTGGCCCTGAAGAGGCCCCGGCGGCCCAGTTAAGCAGCCGGGCCCCCTCCCGCGCAGGGCGGCTCCGGGTGCGGAGGCTGGAGCCCGTGGAAGCGCCCCCGCACCCCAACTCCAGCACGCCCACCCCACCGCTCTCTGAAAATCAGAATCTAGCCCAGAATAGCAGCCTTCCTACTTTTTCATTTTTTAATAGGAACAACTTTAAGTCTATAAAATTCCCATAAATCGATACCAAGTTGATTTCTTTTTTTTTTTTTTCCCCAAAGTAGGTATTTCGCCGGGGGAGCAGCCGAGCCCTTCCTCGGCTGCGTGGGGAGCCGCCCCCGGGTCCCGCGGGCACTCACGAGTTGGCGTGGATGAAATCCAGGTGCAGCTGGGCCCGCCGCAGGCCGCCGTACTTGTCGCCCATGTCCTCCCCCGGGACCCGCAGCCCTAGGGGCACCCGCGGCCGCGGCCTCCGCACCGCAGGCCCAGCCCACGCGCACGCGCACGGCCACGCCCACAGGCGAGCCACACCCACGGGCTCCGCGCGCCCACGCCCACGCGCACGGGCACGGGCTGGCCACGCCCAGGGGCTCATCACACCCCTGCGCACAGCCACGCCCACGAGCTCGGCACGCCCACGTCCACGCCCACGGGCTGGCCACGCCCACGGGCTCATCACACCCCTGCGCACAGCCACGCCCACGAGCTCGGCACGCCCACGTCCACGCCCACGGGCTGGCCACGCTCAGGGGCTCCTCACGCACATGCCCACGAGCTCGTCACAAGCACGCCCACGTCCTGCTGGTCATGCCCACAGGCAGTCCTCACCCACGGGCTCGTCACGCCCACATCCACGGGCCGGTCACGCCCCCGCGCAGTCCACGCCCACGGGCCGGTCACGCCCACGTCCCCGGGCCGGTCACGCCCCCGCGCAGTCCACGCCCACGGGCAGTCCACGCCCACGGGCCGGTCACGCGCACGCCCAGGCTCAGGGCTGTGCACAAAGGCCCGCGCCCCCTGCCGGCCGGGGGTGACGTTCACCCGGAGCGGAGCCGCGGGCGGCGGCCGGCAGGGCAGGTCCCGCGTCGCGGGTTCGAATCCGCCCTCCGACGAGGCGGCGTCCGCGCTGGCCTCCTCTTCCCCGTTGCCATCTGCGTACGCGACCCGCGCAGTGGCGCTGTCCTTCCGCAGACGGCCCGCGAGCCCGGGGCTACGATCAGAATTGGTCGGAAAGGGGTGCACGGGCACCCGCAGACCGCGAAGGGGCGGGGCTGGAGGCTGCAGGCTGGGGGCGGGGGGCAGCGGGACAGGACGGAAAGGGGCCGTTTTCCTTCACTTGCCCAGTTTGTGACGCAGCCGCCCGGGGAAAGGCGTCTTGGGTTTTGACCCCGGCGCTTACCTCGCGGTGTTCCTTGGCTTGATACCCTTGAAGGAAAGAGACAAGAAACGAGATGAAGCCAGGGAGGAAAGAAAGGACTGAGGGCAATCGGAGCAGGATTTGGACTTTGCTGTGATGTGGAGCTTGTGTTCCGTGAGAGACTGTCTCTCCTATCAGCTGATAGTCAACTATTTTATGTGCTGGCCCAGCTCAAAGAACAGACATTCTGGACTGTTCCAAAGGATAGAGCTGGGCAGGGGAAGGTTCTGGGGACGGAGGGGGTGGGGACGCAAGGAAGGACTGTGAACACCAGCTGTGCAGACGCTGTTACTCACAAAGCACTGAGGTCCAAGGCACCAAAACCCAAGTTGAAACAGGACTTGTCAAAGATGCTTTCTGGAAAGGTCCTGGTGTTGATGAGAAACGACTTAACCTAGTTGACCTCTAAGAAGTGTTCAGACTCATTCCAACTAGGGCTAGATGACTTGCAAACTCAGGTAGTCCAATAGCACCCGGAGATTCTGTGATGGTTTTAAAATCAGAAATGAGTGTCTGTTGAATAAAGAACTTGAGCTAGATGGGTTTGTGATTTCCGGGCGTCATACAAGCAATGAGGCTCTCAGAAAAGAAAAAAAAAAAAAGAAAATTGTCAGTTTTGAGATAGTCATTTTACTTCTTAAAAAAAAAAAAGTAGTTTATCAGCTACTACATTTATAGGAATCAGGAGAGGAAGAGAGAATTTGAATGACAACCCAAAGGAACATGATGCTCTAATTTGAAAACTGGAAGTAAACATAAACATTTCAAGTAATTTTTCTGATTGCATTTTTGTTTTAACGGTGGCTGACGTGGTGGTGTTTTGATAGCAGAATTCTCTGTACTAAGCAACTTGAGCTATCTTTCCAATTTCTCCTTCCATAGAACTTCAGAAATATGATATTTATTTTCATTTTATGGGCAAGAGAGGCTTGACAAGCCTCTTCTGGATTTATTTTACTACCCCAATTTCCAGCTGCTATCGCAAAGCAATTTACTATTGGGAGGGCACCAGGGCCATCCGCCTGTAATTAGTAAAGGCTGTAATATCTCATTTCTACCAGAGGGAAGGGTGTGATTATTATAAAAGCAGGTCTTCTAATAATATGAGCAGAGCCCTCCTACAGTAAGTGGCCAGCCCCAAAGCACCAGACAGTACTGGTTGGCCTGGATAATGGGCACTTAAGGGAATCTGTTAGATCTGCTAAAACAGAGGCCTGAGAGTCATTGCATGCAACCCCCAAAAGCCTTTCCCCTTCATCATTTCAATTCCACTTAACCACCCTCCAGTCATAAAGGTAAATCTTGTTTCTCTTCATAGGATGCTTTTGGGATTCTTTGTCTGAGCCACCTCTCTCAACTCTGCCTCAAGGTTCATTTTAACCTTACTTTATGATTCAAAAATATTGGGGAAATAGCAGGGAGGGGAAATTTAAAAATGAGAACATCATCTGCCCATCTTATCATCGATCCTGATATTAAGGAGAGTCAGTTTGGGATAAGAGACTGGTCAGCTCTTCCTAACTAGACATTTCAGTTTTGCAACATTCATGTACTAGTCACAAACAATGGCTCAGATCTTTCAAACTATATATACTCCCCCCTTTTCATTTAAATGATTTTGTATGAGGGCACGTGGGTGGCTCAGTCAGTTTAGGCTTCTGACTCTTTGTTTTCAGCTCAGGTCATGATCGCATGGTCATGAGATAAGCCCCCCCGTTCAGTCTCTGCACTCAGTGTGGAGTCTGCTTAAGACTACCTCTGCCTGTCCCTCTCTTTCTTTCTCTCATAAATAAATAAATTTGTATAAACCAACATCTTATTACTCTTCATAAACATGTTTAAACTCAAGACAAAATTTATCAACATAAAAAAATCCAGATGCTTGTACCTAATAACCACACACAATGATATGCCATTTCTTAAGAATTATAATTAAGAAATGAAATTGGTACATTACAATAAATACAGAAGCTAAAATACTATTGAGGTGGTAATATTGAAAGATGCCAATGACACTTAATGGATAATAGTGAAATATCTCTGAAAGGAACTCATTCTTGCTTGCTTATTTTCTTGCTTTTGTGCAAATTCTGAACCTGGTTGGTTGTGTTTTCATCTCTCCCAGTCAACTCCATGTTAGAAAATGGTAGAAACTGACTCTCCTTAAAATCAGGATCAATGATAAGATAGGCAGATGATGTTCTCATTTTTAAATTTCCCCTCCCTGCTATTTCCCCAATATTTTTGAATTCATTATCCACTTAACTGACAGTCTTTATACTCCAGGTATGCAGCACTTTGGTAAGCATTTCTGGAGACTATGGAAAATATGAGGCCTAGAGCTTGCCCCAAAAATAATGATGATTATTAAAGTTAGAAAATATTGGGGATCCCTGGGTGGTTCAGTGGTTTAGCGCCTGCCTTGGCCTCAGGGCGTGATCCTGGAGTCCCGGGATCTAGTCCCACTTCGGTCTCCCTGCATGGAGCCTGCTTCTCCCTCTGCCTGTGTCTCTCATGAATAAATAAATAAAATCTTAAAAATAAATAAATAAATAAATAAATAAATAAATAAATAAATAAGTTAGAAAATATAGTAGTCATCTTCAGTTGGCTAACCCATTAGTCATCTCCCCAACTTTCTTCTTTCCACTTTCAAAGGTGAAGATTTGCTTTCCCAGTCTCTCCTGTAGCAAGGGGTGGCCATTCAACTGAGTCTTCATAAATAATATAGAAGCAGAAGTCTGCTTAGTGGTTCCAGGAAGGCTTTTGCTCTCCTGATAAAAGACAGACGCAAGGCTGGCTCCATCTCCCATCTTTCTTGTCTCTAACTTAAATATGAGCATGATACCTGAATTTAGGTATCCATGAGGAAAAAGTCAACAGAATCATATGAAGCTGTCCCAAAGCCAGCAGTCATCCATCTTGAGATTTGTGTTATGGAAGAAAATTTAACATTAGTCTTTATTTGTATAAGTAATTATAATTCAGTTTTCTTTTGCTTGTAGCCAAAATTATTCTTAGCCAATAGTGACAAAGAATAATACCATAAAGCCCAAAAACATACTTTCTTTCCATCATTGGGCATCAGCAGAGAATTATTTTCTCTGGGCTGTGATTTAGAAGTCTTTTTTTTGCCAGAGGGGGTAAATGTGAGCTCATAGGAAGGAAGACACTGTAGACAGAAGCCACCATCAGAACACAGAAGTAAGGAAAGGACAAAACATAGTATGTATACAGAATATAATCACTAGAATCATCAGAATGCAGTGCTGGAAGGGCCAAAGTTGACCAGATAAGGAAGCAGAGAACTAAAGAAGAGTTGGAGTGTTAGGGTGATGTTTATGTTTAAGTGATATGTAATTTGGAGCCATCATTGGTTGGCTCATCCAGTGAATCAGACAACTGTTCGGTGAGAGCCACCTCTATGGTAGGTTCCAAGAATATAAAAATATTTTGTTTCTGGCGCATCTGGGTGGCTCAGTGGTTGAGTGTCTGCCTTCAACTTAGGTCCTGATCCTGGAGTTCTGGGATCAAGTCCTGCATCAGACTCCCCTCTGCCTATGTCTCTACTTCTCCTTTGTGTGTCTCATGAATAAATAAAAATCTTTTTGAAAAATCTTTTTTTTTTCTTTTTTTCTTTTATTTTTTTTTACACTTCTACATTTTATTAAAGTGGTATTACTGAATTTACAAATGTTAAAAGACATGCTTTATTAGTTGCTATAGGAGTCACGTTTCGTTTTAGTTTATCAGTTAAATAATAAATTTGCTTTCCTTTTGTGCAATTTTTTTTTATAAATTAATTTTTATTGGTGTTCAATTTACCAACAAACAGAATAACACCCAGTGCTCATCCCGTCAAGTGTCCCCCTCCGTGCCCGTCACCCATTCACCCCCACCCCCCGCCCTCCTCCCCTTCCACCACCCCTAGTTCATTTCCCAGAGTTAGGAGTCTTTATGTTCTGTGTCCCTTTCTGATATCTCCCACACATTTCTTCTCCCTTCCCTTATATTCCCCTTCACTATTACTCATATTCCCCAAATGAGTGAGAACATACAGTTTGTCCTTCTCCGATTGACTTACTTCACTCAGCATAATACCCTCCAGTTCCATCCACGTTGAAGCAAATGGTGGGTATTTGTCGTTTCTAATGGCTGAGTAATATTCCACTGTATACATAAACCACATCTTCTTTATCCATTCATCTTTCGATGGGCACCGAGGCTCCTTCCACAGTTTGGCTATTGTGGACATGGCT